AGCGCTCTTAGAAGGGGCCGCAGAGCTAGCTGGCTCTCCTTCTGCGACATGAGGACACAGTGAGAAGTTAGCCACCTGAAAATGAAAAGGGATCCTCACCAGAGGGCATCCATGCTGTCACCTCCAGAACTGTCAGAAATAAATTTATGCTCTCAGACAACCAGAATACGGTGCTTGGTTATAACAGCTGGAATTGACTAAGAGAGATGATGTTATTTACCATCTCAGAACAGGGAGTGAAAAGCCATTAAGGACAGAAAAAACGTAAGTATAGGTATTGATGTAATATTGTGTAATATTAATTGTATATTGATCTTTGAATATTTTACAAAGATTCTTGGACAATGTTTCTTAGCAAAAAAAAAAATCAATGTAAGAAAATATTACTTACTTTGTAAGTAATCTTGCCCCATATCAAATGGAGCACAGGAAGTGCAAGGAGAAGAAAGATGGGGTTGTATGGGGTGTTGTGTGCATGTGTGTATGTATGTGTATATGTGTGTGTGTGCAGTGAGCACATGTGTTCTCCCTGCGTCCTCTCCTCCAAGCTTTGAATGTAAGCTGCGGTGAGCTCAAAGCTCGGTCATCTGAATCAAGAACCAAATCCCAGCTTCCTAAAGTCTCCGTAATGATTCAGTGCCTTGGGGCCGTGGGCTCCTTCAAACAAGTGACCTTGGCTGGTTATCTCCATGGTAACAGCTCACATCCCAAACTGTTCCTTCCTGTGGGAGGAAACATTTCAGAAATGGGGAAAGGCAGAAGTGAACAGTGGTTTTTCTCTCTGACCCTTCTCCTTTGGCAAAATGTGTACTTTCCCTGAACATTGCCGTCTCCTGAGGAAACCGTGCAGAAGAGGAGGTTTCAGCGACTTCATGTGCAGATGTGTGCCCAGGATATATTTGAAAAAGTAGAAGCCTGGAGCTGCTTTTTTTTTCTTTTGGTTTAAGTTTCATGCCGCATTCAGTTTGTTCAGTAGGATGCTTCACCATGCTTCTCAGTAGCAGCTTCCCAAAGAGGAAGGCCTGCGTGCCCTCACATTGAAATACAGAGCCTCCAGGCCAGAGAGGATGGATACCTTTCCCAGAGCAACAGTGCAGCCTCTTCGGAACCCCTACTTCCAGCCTGCATCCTGTGGTCCAGCCCGTGCCTGAGCCACCATCCTGGTCAATCAGCTGCTGTGACTCCCTCCAACCTTAGACTCCACCTCCTGCTCCACGACCCATGATGCTGCTTGTGATCTCCTCCAACAAGGTGCCTAGATTCTGGGAGAGACGATTCAGCAAATGTATGCTCTAAACCTAGGGTATTCGTGGAATCGTAAGCTCTGTGTTCCATCCATTCCACAACGTCTAGGGTCAGAGCAGCATTTTACAGGATGAATAATGACCCTTCTTCAGCTGAGCCCTGAAAGTGCATGCCTGACCACAAAACCCTCCAATTGCAGCTCTGAAATGTACCATGGGATCGACTTTCCAACCAGAATCACAGGCCAAGAGCACTCACTCCTTGGCCCAGCTTCAGCCTTTCCCGGTAGTTTTGATCCCGTGATTCTGCCCGTGGAAGAAATCTTTTTTTTTCTCTGCAGCATCCCTGTCTGACTTTGACGTACAAAGGTGTAATTAGAACAGCCTGGAACAAGCAAGACGATCCATTTACCTCATCCCTAACATTTAAGTGCTTTAAAATATGGTTCTAATATCCTAGGTGCACGGGGCCAAATTCCCTTCTCAGTTTCTCACATGCATGAGTAAATCCACACAGACTAAACCCCTTGGGTCTTAGGTTCTGCTTAGAAGTTTTGTGTTTTCTTTTTTTTTTAAAGAAAACAAATATTCCATTAAAACGACACAGTGTACTCCGCATATTTTTAGGACAATTAGAGTTTAGAATTCCCTCTTCTTCCACCCACGGTAAAAGCTTCTTTCCTTAACTGTTTCCTCCCCAAGAATAACATTAAGCTGAAATAAACTGAAGGGCTTCCATGTCTTTTAAAATAATCTTCTCAAAAAAATAAATAAATAAACTAAAATAATCTTCCCATCTTACATTGTCAAAGTACCCGCAGGTGGACTGAGACGCTTGTTGCCCTTTGACAAGGATCCAGGCTCTCCTGTACCTTGGCCAGATAAATCCTTTCGGGAGACAGTTATTTGTGAACCTAAGGGAAGCATTTACTTCACACAGAAAAGCCAAACACCTTGCATGAAACAGAGAAACAGAAAAGTCAGGCCATTCTCTACCATCTGCATAATTTAAGACAGGTCACGGGTTTAGGTAATTTTTCTTTAGTGTTCCTGACGGTGTAAATTCAAAGTTAAGGGAGACAGGCTGGCTGTGCTCTACTTGTGGACCAGAGCTAAAGCAAGACCCCAGAGGAGGAAACCTCACAGTCAGTCTTCATAGGGGGCAGGGGGGGCACTGCGGGAGGAGAGGGGACCAACCCCAACTCACGGCCTGTGTGCTTGGGTATGTTCTTAAGTTTGCGAATATATAAAAATCTCCCTCCCCATCATGTATGTGTCCATATGAATGTATATACAACATCTATATACAGCTGCTCCCTGCCCATTTGTCTGTGCTGTTGCAGCCATGTGTGGATAAATTCGCTGAGCCAACCTGTAAATTAAAGGTTTTCTTGCAACCAGGTTTGGAGCAACATCTTCGAAACAGTCACTATGTCATTCCATGTTCAAGTTCCAAGGCCCCATGACCACCAAATTTAAAAACAGAAGTGGATGTAAGACCCACGTGCAGCGTGTTTCTTATTCACTGCAAAGCATGGAAAAACTTTCCTTCAAAGGAAGGAAAACCCCAGCCCCGCTCATTCTATGATTTAGGCAGAAATAAGATATGCTTTCATGTGAGTCTGACTTGAAAGACGACCCGGATTCAGAGATGGCTTGGAAAAATGCATCTAGGATGTCTTAGACACTAGGAGTTATACTGAAGAATCAAAGAGAGAACTCATAACTTCCATAGGGAAAATGTGTTTTTTTATTTAAATTAAAAAAAAATCGTGAAAATTACAAACTGTTAAATACAGAAGACAATTTTATACAACTTAATAGAATAAGAAGGAAGTATATACATCACTTTTTAATAGGCGCAGATAGACTTGCACCAAACTTCAGGATTAAGCAATGGAAAATGTGACAACGCACATGTCCGTCGCAGTAAAGTTTCAGAATTCAAGTGATTCCAGGCAAGGGGCCAAACTCAACTTGGCTTCTTTCACCTTAAACAGCCCCCTTTGGAGTAAATCCACACTCTGAATTTTAAAGTGAACAGAGGGCCCTTTTTCCCCCAAAACATAAATTTCCTCTAAGGCTATGTTAAGGCGAACTGATAAACCAGTCCCTACACTGTTAACCCTTCCATGGGAACAGTAGTCACTGCTGTCTCCAGTCCGGGGAGATTGTGTTTGTTTTTAAAAAAAAGTTTTATGTTTTTACTAGAATTAAATGTGACCTTTTTGTGTGTTTCTCTTCCCCCTTGTCTTCAAGGGCTCAGAGTCTGCTGCAAAGTGACTGACCACAGGAATACAGGGAGACATTAGCAAGCATTCCTGAGTCTTTTCTCTTAGATGTCTCATTCCCTGAACCAAAGTGTTAACAGTTCACCACTCAGACAACTCAGCGGAGTGAAATATGGGATCTGCCTCTTGGATTCACTGCTGGGAAAGTGGACAGCAGGGGATGGTGGGTGAGCCGCCCTGGATCTCCCAGTTACATGTGTTCTCCATCTCCAACTGCTCCTTTAAGTAAGCAGATCCTTTTGCAGACTACTGGCCAGTGAGGAAATAGTCAATCCAAGCTTCCTCACACCAGGCCATGTAGGATTTATCACAGAGTCTTAAAATCTAAAGACATCCTCCCAGCCCCCTGGGGATCTAGATGATCAGGAGTCTCAGGAAGGCAGTAAGTCTGTGGATGACATGCCCAGGACCACACAGCATATCAGAGTCTGGGCTTGGGATTCACAAACAGAGGACCCCCAACTCTGCACAATCTCGCCAGAGTATGCCCTTCTAAGTCCCAGCTACGTGACCAAATGCCATGTCGTGGAGGCCCACAGTATATCTTCTCCCAGCTCAGAAAACCGGACTGGGAATAAAAAGCAGCAGCGGAGCTAACAGTTTGGCTTGGTTCAACCCCACCATCACCCCTTCTGAAAAGATCAGGAAGATTCCCTGCACAGCCATTCAGAGTGCAGGTTAGATTCTGGGGAAACCCTTCCAAAAAAAAAAAAAAATGCCACGCTAGCACAGGATGCTGGATGGTCCCAGGTCAGAGTTCAAGGTCTCAGGTTAGACAAAGGGTCAAGTAGCAGATTATTCTTACCATCTCAGCTCATGTTGACCGGTTTAAAAGTCGCCTGGTTTTCTCCTTACAGTAGGCAAATAGACCAGGTAGAGATCTCCAGCTTCCTCCCATCAAAAGTCCCCCTCCAACAAATATCCCCCTGCTCTATCCGGAAAGACCCCCTAAAAGAAGCTCTGTAACCTGCGGTGAACTAATGCCACAGGTTCACATTAGAGGTTCTTACAGCGGATCAGATCTAGAAGAACAAAGCTCTGGGCAAATTAGCAAACCGAAACTAGTCCCTTGGGACGCCCTAAGCCTTTGGCAGCCCTGGGAGTAGGCAGATGCTGCAGGAGTTACCCGGGGCATCCCCTGAGAGTACAATCGCAAGGACATCCCACCTGCACGGGAACCCCGCCCACAAGGCCCCAGGGAAAGGTACACACCGCGCGTCTTCAGGCCTCTTTCAGCGGCAGGTCTACACCACAGGCGTGCGGTGGACTCCAGGCTGCGGCTGGCCCCCTCTGAGCCTTGACCCCCACCACCGCCACCACCCTACCCCACCCCCCATTCAGGGGCTTGCCGCGGGTCCCTTGGAAGTGGCAGTTGCCCTGCAAAAGTGAAACCCGACACGAAAGGTGTCCTTCCTCGCTCTAAGGGTGCTGGTTCACAGGGTCACCTCCAGAGGTCCTAGGGGTGCTAGGAATTCTGATGGATGTTCTCCGAGGACCCTTCGCTGCTTTCGTTGAGGGGGGTCTCAGAAGTCTCCCCCAGCTCATCGTCCGCCCCCTCCTCCTGGATGGTGAGGTGCACATCGGGCGAGGAGGACTCGGAGCTCACGCTGTCACCCTCCATGGAGCAGAGGGTGCAGGACAGGGCGGGCGCCACGCTCTCCTGCAGCACATTCAGCATCGTGGGCGCCTGCACCGACCTCAGGCCGGACAGCGTGGCCAGCGGCTTCATGGCCTCCCCCCAGAGCCGCTCCTCGTCTCTGTACAGCAGCAGGAGGCTGGCTTTCTTCTCCCGCCTCTTGGATTTCATGTAGCCCAGCGTGATCCCAATCAAGAAAATGCCGTAGAAGGACATGACCACCAGAACGTAGAAGTATTCGTTGCCGTGGCCACTGCCGGACACGGGGGACTCGAGGGGGGCGCTGGGGGCTGCGATGCCGGCGTCGGTGCTGTTCAGAGGCTCCATCATCAGCATTGAAGCTCAGCTCGCACCGCCAGGAGCTGGGGAGAAAGCTGCAGGTTAGGACTCTCCCGCCTGACCGCAGTTACAGGAAGCGGGGCAGCCCCAGGTTTGTGGAACTACAGGATCGGAAAGGTTTGCAGCTGCTGCCCAGAGAAGTAACTCTAAGTCCCTCCTGGCGGTTAACAGGGGTCAGCTGTGACCGGCTGGGGTGCGCGAGGGAAGAGGCACCGAGAAGTGGGAGGAAATGAAAAGAAGACTTTCATTTTTTTTACATGTCAATCAGATTTTCATTTCATAAAGTGAACATGTGAGAAGCTTTGCTTCAATCATTTTAAAATGCAAAAAAAGAAAAAGAAAAGAAAAGAAATCCCTTTAAGACAGAGGTGCAGAGAGAAAAGAAAAAACGTCTGAATCCCTGGGAAACTTTTTGAGCTGATGGAGCAGAAAAAAAGAAAGTTTACATTTGGCTGCCAAACGTCAATCTATTTTTAATTCAAGACAAAACTGCCTTAGAGAAAATCACATCTACAAATTGCTGGTAGTAGCCTTTCATATGTTTCTGAAGCAAAGTGGCATTGCTGACTTACCAAAAGCTGGCGAATTTGTCCCAAGTTCTGAATTCCTAAATCATCAAGTCCAAGAGCCTTTTTCTTCCTGCGTGTGGTGCTCAGCGCTCTGACAATTCTGCCGCTGCTCTTGGGATATATAGTCAAGAAATGCATCGTCACGTGTTCTGGGAGGAAAATTTACAACAGAGGTTGGTCGTGGCAGAGTGAACAGTGAACTCACAGCACAGCAGTTCAACACACTGAACTCTGCAGCTGTGAAAAGAAAAAGACTGGGAAGTGGGAAGAGCGTCCCACCCCCCAGCACCCAGCCAAAGTTTTCAGGTGGCCATGAAAAAGGAGGAAAGAATGTGCCCAGTTGGAACTGTTCCCCCCAGATTCACTCTCATTGAAAATTAGTTCATGCTTCATCTCCCTCTTGGGAAATAACCCTGATGTCAATACAGGTTTTCAGAGACAGTCAGTCAAATGCCCTAATTTAGATAAAAGACAGTTAGAGGCAAGTGCAGGATTTACTATCAAGGAACCAGGGCTTAAGTTTCAGCTCTTCCACTGACTATGCAAATGTAATAAATCCTCCCCGAGCCTTTCCGCACCTCAGATTCCTGAACTGTAAAATTGTTCGACGTTGGGGGCTTCAGTAGGTAAAATTATATGAACTGTGTGAGTTTTTGAGTCCCTGTCAGCTTGATCACTCTAAGACTTAAGGCTGGCAAGTGTGGGTTTGCACTTTAAAAACACTGAGAGATTCTGTCTTCTGCATCATAATCTCATAACACTCATAAATCTATTTTTTTTTAACAATAATAGATATATATCTTCCAGATGCTTTTCAACAGTCTATGTGAAGTGGAGACAGTTTACAGTGCAAGATACTGTGCACAAATTTTTCTCCAGTTCTAGGGCATATAACTGCTCCTCCAGAGTGTCACACAGAGACCATTCAGACATCACTTTGCTGTCAAGGGAGGAGCAGGTCAGCGGAGGAGCAGGAATTCTTCTGATGACCAACTGAGCACAGTTCAAGCTTTTGAAACCTAGCAGATGCTGGGTTAAAATAATCACAGAGATCAAAATTGCCAAAGGAATTGGAGACTTTGGTGTCTGTCCTTCCTCTCCCCAGGATGCTTACTTATTCTGAGAGGCTCTCATCCTAAATTGAAATAAACCCAAAGGGATTCCCTGCACCCTCCCCCCTCCCCCCACCCCCATCGTTCTACAGCCTGTGAATTGCAGCCAGACTATTGTGGGGAATCAAGTCTAGAGAAAACCTCTCTTGTGGTCCTGCTGTTGTTAAATTGAAGCTGAAGGGAAACATGGTAACTTCCCTCTGCTCCAGCGGGAAGCTGGAAAGATAGATAGATAGATAGATAGATAGATAGATAGATAGATAGATAGATAGATAGATAAAATGATGAAATTATATATATATATATATATATATCCCAGACACTGGGACTTTCACTGCTGCCACTGGGTTAATGCCTGGCTCTAACTCTGTTTGGACACCTGTGGAAAGAGCAGAATGATGAGCACATGCTCTGTTTTCCCCACTGGTCTACTCACCCTGTGGTTTGATCTGCGCTCACCCATAAGTCTTCAGCTGACTCTCAAGTATCAACAGGCTGACCGTTCCAACTCCAAGATCTTCCATAACAGGAACTTGGCTCACATCCATAAGGACATCCTCACAGTTACATCTACCTCAAAAGCTCCACAGCTTCCTCGGCCAAAGCAGACATGGCCTCCTCAACATGTACTTGTCATAAGTACCTGAAGGCTTTCTCCTTCAACTATGCTTACAGTGGTTTGCCAGGGACATGAGAACAAGAGAGACCCATAAGAGTGTTGCCTGTTGATTGTTGATGCCAGTAGTGATGCTTATGTACCTTGGGATGTATGAGATAAGTAATCACCCAGGGATGGCCAAACACTGCAAACTAGAAGCTTTAAGACACCCTTGGGGGTTTCCTTGGGAGGAGGGTTACCAGATTTTCACAGCAAGGAAGTACGAGGTCTGGTGCCAGCAAGCCAAACAGAGACTGCAGTTTCAGACAAGATAAATCTTCAAAATCAAGCCAACAGTCCCAAAACGGTAAAACCAAGAAAAGACGTGGATGAATCTAGAATGACGTCCAAAGGATAAAGCAATCCAGAGACACAGGAAGAACAAAATCCATTGCAGGTGTCAGGAAGGAACACTCCAGATGAATTTCTCCTGGAGGCCTGCTTGGTGGCCCTGCTTCTTCTGGGACCCCAGGATGACTCCTGCGTATGTTTCTCCTACAGTTAAATGAAATGATGCAAGCACAGTCCTTAGTGCCGTATGCTAAGTCTATGCTTTTTGCCGTCATTGTTGAGAGGGTTACCAATGGCTTCAGGTTGCTTCCTAATGGACACATTCTTGTCTCTGTATTTTTCATCATTACTCTCTTCTCTCCCACCAAGAATGGAATTTAGATGAAGCGCTTGCAACCTCATAACACAAGTTTCATTCTTCTCTCCAGCCCTCACTCATAACAATATTATGAGAATTATGGCTGTGAATAATGACATAAACAGTAAGGGAGGAAAGGAAAGCATATAGAAAGTGAACTCTATCAGGGAGAGGATGGGGAGGACACAAGAATTATTGATTACATCTACTTTATACCACAGTATCAAGAAGACAGCAATATTAAAGAGACAAATCCATTTTGCAATTATTTTCTCCTAGTCTGTGGCTTCCCATTTTCTTAGCAGCATCTTTTTGAATAGCAAACATTTCTTAACACAGATGAGTCCAACTTATAAGATTCGTGCTTTTTGTTTTCTAAAAAAAAAATTGGTATAACCCAAGGTCACAAAGATTTTCTCCTGTTTTTCTCCTCAAAGTTTAAAATTTTAGCTCTTACATTTAGGTTTATGATCCATTTCAAGTTAATTTTTGGACATGATGCAAGGTATGAATCAAAATTTATTTTCTTTTTTTTATATGGATGTCCAATTGCTCCAGCACCACTGGTTGAAAACACCACCCTTTTCCCATTGAATTATATTGGGACTTTTGTCAAAAATTAATTAGCCATTTAATTGGTCTACTTCTGAGTTCTTTAGTCTGTTCTTTGGATCTATCCTTGCATTGGTGCTGTACTCCTTTGATAAATCCATTTTGAACTGGGATTTTTCATCAGCCTAAGATATACTGCAGCCCATCCCTAGCTGAGTGTCTGTTGTGAATCAGGCACTGGGAGAGACTTTGCTTACTTCAACCCTGTGTACTAAGCGTCACCATAACTGTTCCATAAATAAGGAAACTGAAGGTCAGAGACACTAAGTAAATTGCTCAAGAACACCTCATTAGTAGTAGAGTCAAGGGGCCTTCCTGGAAGCTCGGTGGTAAAGAATCTGCCTGCCAATGTAGGAGACAAGGGTTCAGTCCTGGTGCAGGAAGATCCCACATGTCGTGGGGCAACAAGGCCCATGCACCACAACTACTGTGTCTGGGCCCTAGAGCCCTTGAGCCACAATTACTGAAGTCCATGAACCCTAGAGCCCATGCTCTGCACCAGGAGAAGACGCAGCAATGGGAGGGCTTCGTACCATAAGTAGACAGTAGCCTCCACTTGCCACAACTAGAGAGAAGCCTGTGCAGCAATGAAGACCCATCACAGCCAAAACAAATAAATTTTATTTATATATATATATATACATATATATATATGTTATTCTTTTACATGTAGCTGTCCAATACTCCCAGTGCCACTTGTTGAAAACTATCTTTTCCTCACTGTATATTCTGCCAAGTGGTACCAATATAAATATATATATATATATATATATATGTATTAGGATTTGAACCCAGATCTCCACAATTATAGAACCCATTCTCTTTCTACTCTTCTTTGCTTCACTCAATGGGAACCAAGAGAAGAAATGAAAAGAGTATGAAATCAAAGAAAGATATTTTTTCAACTCCTTCAGAGTCTTCATAAAACTTTTTAAAAAGTGAATTCCTCAGATTCAGTGCAATCCCTATCAAATTACCAATGGCATTTTTCACAGAACTAGAACAAAAAATTTCACAATTCATGTGGAAACACAAAAGAGTATGATTAGCCAAAGCAGTCTTGAGAAAGAAGAATGGAGCTGAAGGAATCAATCTTCCTAACTTCAGACTATACTACAAAGCTACAGTCATCAAGACAGTATGCTACTGGCACAAAAACAGAAATATAGACCAATGGAATAAGATAGAAAGCCCAGCGATAAACCCATGCACCTACGGGCACCTTACCTTTGACAAAGAAGGCAGAATATACAGTGAGGAAAAGACAGTTTCTTCAACAAGTGGCACTGGGAGAACTGGATAGCTACATGTAAAAGAATAAAATTAGAACAGTTCCTAACACCATACCCAAAGATAAACTCAAAATGGATTAAAGACCTAAATGTAAGACCAGAAAC